CAACGAAATAACGTTGCATTTCTGGCCGTTGAGTTCGGTGTCATTGTTGATAAACGATCGGTAAGCCGCGTCGAGAGTTCTCTTTAGGGTTTCATGAGCTTAGGGATGTTGTACCGTTTTCCGTGTTTCAATGTCGTCCGCGAATAATAGTGCTTGTCTCCCGAGGACATCTGGTAGGTCGTTTATGAACGTCTGAAAAAGATATGGATACTCCTGAACAGCGTCGATTGGTCCCCGCAACGAACCATTAACTCGAACTGATAAGGTTTTTTGTCGAAGAAATTCGTAAATTTCGTTAAGGAGCAGTTCTCGAACGCCTTAGTTATAGGGCTTTCGCTGCAGTATACGGAGGTTCGCTCTGTCGAAAGCACTGACGTATTCCAGGTGGATTACGTCCACTGTCTATTTTCAACTGTTCTTGTCCACTCATCTCGTCCTTCGGTATGCGTGTTGATTTCAGGTATTTTTCTTTAGAGCCGTCTTAAATACTGCTGAAATTTCGAAGTACCTGGTGTCGGCTTCGTAATGGGTCGTTATTTCGAGAGATTCTACCATAAGCTCGTCACTTGTCGATACCTCGTCCCAGGCCCATGGAAAGTGGCCATTTGTAAATTCGGCATGATTCTTTGCAGGATTACGCATACAATGAGGCGACAAACGGTGCCGAATTCCATTCAAACAGGTGGTTTTAGTTCTGGCGTTATATAAAATCGGGACAATTAAATTCTCCCATTATGAGAAAGACCGTATCTCATGATCTGCGACTGTGCCTCGGTAGAGGAGCCTGAGCATACAGGAGAGCGCGAAGTTTCACCAATCAAACAGTTACTCTCTTTGGAGTGTCTCTTCGTACACCAAATTGTGTTGCGGGTCTCATCGAAGAGATCAAGTGGTTCACGTGGAGATAACTGCACAAAGATACACCGCCCGTCCCCCCCCCCTCGTATAGAACGATCACGTCCCAACAGGAACATTTCATGTAGGTGCAGTTCAGAGTGAAAAATATCGGCATTCAACCAGGTTTCGAAAATGGCGACAAGATCCCATTGACCATTTAGCGTATCAAGCTCGGGTTTTTCAGTGGTACCAGGCACTTTTGATAATCTGGAGTGTCGATTTCACTCCTTGGTAGATCATTAATTCCGCACTGACCGGTTTACAAACACCGTTGCATCTCGTTAAATTCTCTAAGGAAGTTTTGTGCGTTTGTGTATAAACAGGTTAGGTGGTGTCGGTTTGTTAATTCGCTGTGGTTCGAATCGTTATTCATACCGATCACTCTATGGTGTTTTTGGAAATCGGTTCTTTTGCTGTGGTCTCACGAAGAAGGAGAAACAAGTGGATTTTGGTTTGAGAGAGGCGGCGTATTAGCACCGTTCTCCAACTGCGGACACCGTTTCACCTCACCATTTAACAATGGTCTGAGGCGTAATTCTGTTGGTCCTCTTCAATTACCGTACCATGCCCTCAAGACCGGTGTAATCCGGGGTACTGAGGGTTTCATAATCATTTTGCCGTTTCAACAGTAGTTTGCTGATCACGGAAGGCCGATGATTAAGGTGATGAAAACGTTGTAGCATCCAATCAGCTCTTGAATGAACCACCAAGTTCCAGTAGTTTTGTTGGCATTTAGATTTGTGTGCATCGTCTAATTTAGCGACTCCGTGAATCAATACAACTCGTTTATTCTCCGACTAGCCTGCTTCTACCCGGTTCTTACTATGGGGCATACTTTCGGTCCACGCTCGATCAGGAAGTATTCCTATTTGACTCGAAACTTTGCCAAGAAGGTAAGAAGAAAGAAAAACGTTCTCGGTATTTCTTCTCATCCTTCAAATTGACGCGAAGTAATCTGGGTTCCCCGGCGTGAAGCCATAACGCTCGACGATGGAGGCATACAATGTTCACTGGACCACATAATGCAGTCCAGTGTCCAAGTTCTTCTACCTTCCCCCTCTCCAATGAAGTTGCTGTCGCTTCTGATACATAGGAGCAGTTAACTGTCAGGATGGTTGGATCAACATTCCGCTTTTGTTTTATCGACGAATGTTATATCTGCGATGTTGATACTGTCGGCTGCACCTGGCTCCCAGAGCATAAAAGGCCGCTTGGTTTGTTGCTGTTGGTGTAATGTGGACAAGTGTCGGTTGCATTGAAGGGTTCTCCAGCTGTGTCTAGTTTCTCCCGTTTCTTCTGGTCGCTACCAGTGCGGAATTCAGCACACCGTTTTCCTGTAATGTTGTGTTCTTTATGCAAAATCACTAACTCATTAGTTTTCACGTAAAATCGTGGAAACCCTATTGGAGAGACAGTGTGTTTTGTTTACCCAAATCTTTTAGGTGGTTCAGTATTTGGCAAACCTTAGCCCTGCAAATTTTCATGCTCGTTATAGCCAGTTCACTCATCATGCTCTCGGTTGCACAGTCCACGAATATCTAATTTTTTAAAAACTTTTTCTCGTCTTCTGCCATTTCAGTTTTCCTGGGTTTTGAGCTGTGCATTCACCCGGGCTGGTCGTATCAACCGATCATGCACACCGTTTTCTTGTTTTCATTTTAATTTTCACCACAGTTTCCAGATGATTTTGCTCCCTTTCGTAGTGTTCTGGATTCATATTTGGTATCGGTTCCTTCCGGTTTGCGATTTGTGCGTGGATGAGTAAAGTTGACATGGTCCATATTGCTGCACTCGAATGCCCATGTTTTCTGTTTCCAACTCATTCACTAGAGTAAAAAATAGTGACGAATGTTCTATAACCCCTAGAGATACCCTATTTGTGAGTCGGTAAATGATACGCCTGTTTATGTTTGACTGGTTGCACTTAACTCATTTAAGGCTTTCATAGTTTATTCTGCGATTGTAACTGACCGTATTACATGCTTGAGAGCACCAAAGCAAACTACCAGCTTCTCCCAAAACTCTTGTTATTTAGCAAATACCTCGCACATCTTTTGGCATTCGTTCACTTGTTCACATTTTACTGTGAAGTTCACAATCTCTATAGTCCATCTGTCATGGGTACATATAGGGCAAAGGAGAAAAACCGGGACAAATGTACAACCAGAGCTTAGCTGTTTCATTCATTTAACCTTATCCGTGTTTCGTGCAGTGACCTGACGTCCGGAAAAAAATCTTTATGCCAGTAGCAGGGGCGCTCATTTCGCACATGTAACAGGTACTTGCTTTGTAGTAAGGCATACGAATTTTGCAACCGGCACTTTTCATATTTCATCCATATCGTCGGACACCTGCACCCATCTCGCCGCCAATGGCCGTGCATAGAAAACTGCCATCCGGAATATTGATGTGAGCAGCTCATACTCTGCTGGGTGATAGCAGTGTTGGAAAATAAAAAAGAAGGGTGATTGGATACAATAATTGAAACAAGCTGATATTGAGTGGTATTCGTCGTTGGAAGAAAACTGTAACTTGAGGACCGAAGTTGGTGCGTAATTCATTTGCCTTGTTCTTTGATAGTGAACATGTTGGGGGGTAATTTTTATAGGCCTATACATGCAATGGAAGATTTTGAAATTACTAGAGTGTGCACATCGGGAACCAGTTATTCAGTCCTTTCCGCTTTAAGACTGGTGGCT